GTTAAATTCATTAAGTCTGTATATCGCATGTGCCTTTCACGAGAACAGCAACGAGCAAAATCTTTAAAGAGATATTTAAGGTGATATCTTACAGACTGATGCGAGAATCAAAATACAGTAACATTACGTGTTTTATTTATTTCATAGGTTTCCAAAATGTGCCAAGATGAAGGAACTTTGGATAAGTGCAACTAAACGTAAAGTTTGGACTCCAACTGTAAACAGTTACATATGTTCTCGTCACTTTACCACTGACAGTCACTCCCGCAAACAAAACGAACCTGTACCGAGCCGATGAGTAAGGCGCCTTAAGTTTTAAAAGTTGTCATAAACAGCATATTATTGTCTATCTAGATATTTTTTTTACGTGTTTTTTGTGTTGCTTATATTTTATTTAGTATGTAGTTACTAGTCGCGTCATGTAATTAGAACGCTGGAAGAAAGTGGAGAGAGTATGTTTGCGCATAGCTACACTAGCGCACCAAAGTACTAGGCCTCTGTACAATGGAGATCCGGCACTTTTCATAGAAAAAATGCTAAACTTGTATACAGTTGAATTTGGTCTCAAAATGAAGCCAAAATTATTTGCTACATAAAACTAATTTTGCCTTATTTTTAGTGAATCGTGGAAAGAAGTTATATAATGATTAATATTTTTTGATATGGAAACCCTAAATCTTCAAGGCACAGAATTTTACTTAAAATATTACTCAAGTGACTGTAAAAACCATGATTCCTTTGCTTTTTCTAAATAAAAAACCAAATGTCAATTTGACAATCCTAAAATACAAACAAAAAAATCATTCGCTCCCGCGTACTGTGATTGTGAATGTTCTCTGCTGTGATTGCCTTTTTATCCGTTATTTTTCTTGGCGACCCGGCTACATATAGAGGTTATATTGACAAACCTACGTATTTGACATGGACAGCTAGCTGCTGATGACAAATATTGCCAGACTACGTTACCCAATTATGAAACACAGATAAAAAAATTAAAAAAGTATAGAACTTTGGCACATAATGCCGGGTGTTCTTTATTTATCGATATAAAATATCGATATTTTCTAAAATCGATCTTACCCTCATCACTTCGCTGCACTGAGTATATCATCTGACCTTGACGTGTCCAATCACAACGCGGCTGATCTCCCTGCACGCCACCGACTTTGGCGATTTTGATTTCAAACAAAATTTGCGTGATGCGGACTCTAGTGGGGGTACTCCGTGGTCAAGGGTCATATGGGTATTCCTGGTAACGTGCGCGCGGATGCGGAGGCTGGGGAGGCGGCAGCTCTCAGACGCGCGCCAGATTACTGGCATTACTCCATCTCAGTTGTCAAACGCCTCTCTCGTATTTAGACCCAAGAAGAATGGGAAGAGCGCTACCGAAATGCTCCCCAGGGCAGCCATACGAGAAACTTGTTTCCCTCCCTCCAGAACATACTAAACTTCCGATCTCACTCTACACCTTCTTTCCAAATTTCACAATTTCTTACAGGCCATGGTGCGCATAGAACCTACCTTCATAGATTCTTAATAACTTCAACGGATTCTTGCCCTTGTGATTCCATTACTCCACAAAGCCCTATTCATCTTCTGACCGAGTGCCCGCGATTTTCCTCGCAGCGCCACTCGCATGTAGCTGTCTGCGGTAATAAGGTCCAGGACCCATTCAACTTTACTGATCTCAGTCGACACAGTAGGCTGGTTGAGTCCGTGGTACGTTTTATCACTTATATATATGACAACATTAAGGCATTCTGAGACTTCCCTGGTTTCACTCTCTCATTCCTCTTCCTCGACCTATTCTACCTCTTCCATTCCTTCCATCAGCCGTTTAGGGCCTGCTGCACCTACACTATCCCCTGAACCGCAGGCACATTCTCCTATAGTTCGTCCCTTCGTCTCCATTCCTTTATCATGGCCACCAAGCAATGATCCCGATAGTCCCGGCACACAGCGGCAGTCGTCGCCTTGAGTTGCATGCGGCGTGTATAAATAATTGTTAGTGTGTTTATTATTGTTGTTTAATATGTAACTATATCTGTTAATGAACACGTGACTTTATATTTTCTTATTTATATTTTTTTTATAATTTCTTTTGTTTATTTTATCATTAAGTTTAAAGTGTCTCACAAACAGACGCGGCCTGCGGCTGCGGCCTCTCCTATGTGTATTTCTGTAACCACCACGACCCCGGCCGCAGCCGCGAGTGGCGTCTGGCTGTGAGACACTTAATATTATTGAATATATTTCGTCAATGCCTGTATATCATGCAAGATTGTTAAACCCTTACACTCTTACTCCCATCCTTTAAACCTGTTATTTATTTTCTGTTTCGTTTCCTTTCCTCTCCTATTCTTTCGCCTCTCACTATTATTAAACCGTCCTCTCCTCTCCCTGTCTTTCCCACCCATTCGACCTCCCTGGCTGCATCTCGACGCGGCCTCGGATTCTGATGGGGCTACTCTAACAAATATCGAATCCCTTATATATTACAATTATGTTATATTCAGCACCTTAAAATGTAAAATGTAATAAATAAACGAGTTTAAAAAAAAAAAAAAAAAACACGACTTGGAAAACACTATTTGCTCAAACAACGATATTAAGATATTTCAGTATGCCGATGACCTTTTGTTTTATAATATTAATAAATCCATTGATGAGTCACAGACATTTTTTTCAGCAGCATTGTCAAATTTAAAAAGTTGGATGATTTCCAATGGCTTAGAACTTTCTGCTCCTAAGAGTTCTGTTGTTATTTTTTCACGTAAGAATAAACTCAACCCCGTTTCTTTAAGTTATGACAATAGATACTGTAATTCCAGTTGCGGATCACGTCAAATTCTTGGGCGTCGCCTTAGATTCTAAGCTTACTGGCAACCGCCATTGCGAATATGTTGTGATCAAATGTGAACGGTCACAGTCCAGACTACTTAGATACTATGTAGAACGGTTACTGAACATAATATTATGGTGCCTGTCAGGAGTTTGGTGGTGATGCATGCTATAATAAGAAGCCTTTTTGATTATGGCCCCTTTTTGCTAGAACAGCCTTCAATAAATCAGATAACATTCAGAGTAGTCTTTCGAATAATATTAGGATGTCATGAAGTCAAGTTCTATAAACTATATGCAAGTAGAAGGCTGTGACCTCCTTTAGTATTGCAAAGGCAATACATCTGTGATAAGTTCTTTGTTCGTACAATCCAATCTTCTAATCATCCATTGCTTTCTTTACCTAAAGAACTCAACGAAGTAATTCAAACTTCTCGTTATTGCGCCAATAAATCTCTACCATATCTTTTCATTAGTTAAAGATTTGCTTCACTTTCTGCCCCCACATACAGTTCTAATTTTTCCTTCCTATATTTAATGTTCCGTTTGAAACTTTATTATCCAGTCGTGCACTATGGACAAATATGATTTGATTAGAATTCAAATCATATTTAAAATTTTCTCATGTTATTAAAACTGTATTTAATGATTTCCACCATATATTTTGTGATGCATCTAAACATTTATAGACTACGTGTGTTGAGGTAGGAGTTTTTCATTCTCAGTTTACATAATATAGTACAGAAAGTTAAACTTCCTCCAGAGTTGTCGGTTTATTCAGGAGAATGTTTCGGTGTTTTTAATATCATGAAATTTAAATCTGCTGTAATATTTTCAGATTCATAAAATGCCTTACAATAATTAGAAAAGTTCCCATTTAAAATGAAAAATTATTCCCCTAACATTTTTAATGTAAACAAATTACACAGGAATGTATCAAAAATGGTCTGCATATAGATTTGAAATGTCCATATCGGTATAGCTGGTAATGAACAAGCTGACAATCTGGCAAGAGATGCTGTATCATGTGGCGGTGTTTTTTCGTACTACTGTTTAGATCTATTAGCTATTCCTAAATCTGTATTGCGTGAAGGATGGGAACAAATGTAGAAATATGGCAAACTAACCAAAGGTAAACTTCATGTTGTAATTGAGGATCAACTTCATTCTAAAACTTGGTTTTTCAACATGAAGTTTGGTAAGACGGAGACGTTCATGATAAATAGAATGAGACTAGGCCATACGTCTGTACCTTCCCATCTTGCCAAACTCAATATAATAAATGATCCTAGGTGTGACTGCGGGTTCGATGAGAGAAATGTTGATCACATTTTGTTTTCCTGTCCTCTATTCATAGATCCTTACTTTTTTAACACTTTTCATCCCATTTATATACCATTCCCGTCAAATATAGCTACACTTCTACATACCCTTGAACTATCTGTGTATAAATGTATTTTTACTTTCCTTTTACTTAATAATATAAAACTTTAAACGTTAATATATAAAATTGCATAAATACTTTATAATACTGATCCTTTTAAAAATTTCGTGATATTTCAAATTCCTTTTTTCCTAAACCGTTTCCTTAATTTTCACTTGACATTGGCTGAACGCACAAACGTGCACGCCATAAAAAAAGAATAAAAAAGAAGAAGTTTTTTTTGGAGGGATTTCATCGAGCGGGGTTGGTTGTAGCGATGCGCGACTACGAATAATTTTACCTATCGACTAATTCGTAACTACTAATTTGGCTATTCGAAAGGCAAATTAGTAGTATACTAATGTCATTATTCGAATAACGACTACTAATTAGTAATACTAATGTCAAATTTACAAGAGCGCAACGAATTATAAGCTTAGTTTATTCATTCGTTCGTTCATAATTTGCCTTAGTTCAGTTAGTTTCCGTACGTTCGTACTTGGCGCCTGCTACGATAGTCTTGTAATTTTTTTTGCAGTGAAAACTGTATTTACCAGTGAATTTGTTTATTATTACTTGATTTATATATATTTTTAATATAAAGAGTTCATATATCGACATAATCATTAAAAAACGATTGAAAGTAGTACCCTATTGACTCTGCTTATCTCTTTCACTCGTCGAGTTCGCCCGACCAAGCCCGAGTCGACCCGAGTCAACCGAGAGTCGGTTAGTCGCCGCCCGATACCTTCGACTCCAGTCGAATGATATGAAGCGCAGTCGACTTGGTCGAATGATTCGTGGAGTCGAATGATTAGTATTAGTATTATTCGAAGTCGCGCATCGTTAGTTGGTTGGTGTTATAAATATTCTTTGAATTCTTTCATAGTGGATATTGTGAATTTGTAAAATTAAATTGGTGTGATTTTGTGTTACAATCGTCGGCGCAACTAAAAAATTAACGGAATCTTTAAAATATTCACTATATCGGCCAAGTGGATGTGAGAACTTTATTGTAGTGTTGACTACCTCACAGAAACTTGTCGAGAAAGCTGACTCTATACATTTTGTGCCAAACACTCCAAGAAACATTAGAATGTGTCACACCCACATTCTAATCTAAAAAAGGAAGATTGATACTAAAATAAGACGATGGCTGCATGGCTTTGCCTTTGCCTTTCCCAATAAGAAAGAATTAAATTAAAAAAAAAGAAAGAGGAATGTTTTTTTCTGAAAATGTGAATTAAAATTGTGCAGATCTACAATTTTTTACATTTCTAATTCCAATAACTCCTCATCCGAATTAAATACATAATATTATTTTAAGCGATATAACACTGACATAAAATGGCGGATGAAGAAATCAATGGAGATACTGACGATATTCAGCATGATAAAGACAAGACTCAAAAGAAAACCGCAAAACATGATAGTGGAGTAGCCGACCTGGAAAAAGTTACAGATTATGCGGAAGAAAAAGAAATCTCCTCACAAGACATATCAGGAGTAAGTCGTCACATTTTTTTAAACAATAGGTTATGAAGTACTTACTGATCCAAGCACATTTTCAATGTTTCTGTAAATTCACTGAATCATTGATTAACATTTTCTTTATTACCACACATTTAGCTAAATAGGTAAGTATTATAACTGGTGGCAGTTTTATGTAGCACATGAGTGATACAATTTTTATTGTAAATCTAATGAATTTCAGTTTTAGGTTTCATGTAATCACTTTATACTTCAGGCTCTCTCACTGATTGGGGACAGAAGAAATAAGGAAGCTGCAGAACGCTTAGAAAAAGAAAAAGAACTTCAAAAAGTTTCAGTCAAGAAAGACGACATTGAACTAATAGTAAGCTGATAATCATTTCACATTGTTTTTATTTACAATGAGAAAAGCTTGGAAGTAGATGTCTAAGTTTATCTTTTTCGCAAAGGTGAAAATCCCTTTTAAAACTAAAGAGACTGTCAAAGTAAAATACATCTTTTCTAACTAAAAAAAGGAAACACTAAAGGAATCCCTTTGTTATGAATTCTTAGTCCTTAAAACAATTTTATTTCTATTACATATTTATGCAATGTTCCAACACTGAGCTTTAACTTTTATATAATCTACCAATTTTGTATATTTAAGCTAACAATATGAAATACCTTAGGTACACCATGTGTGCTCAAAATGTGTCCCAAACAAGAAGTGCTTGAATGCCACTCAAGCACTTGTTGGTTCACTCTCAATGTTTAAATAATGCCTTATATAGTTTTTGACAATGCAATCATCTTATGGAGTGGATGGTGGCTCCGTGGATCGTCCAATGTACCTTTTTGGACAGGCTTCAGGCACGATTTTGTTTGTGTTGGTGTATTGTTGATTTAGGCACACTTGCACCAACATTATTTTATTAAATTTGAGCATAATTCTTTTTAGCACACCATTCTATCTCTCAATTATTTTATGATATTTAAAATGAAGATAGTGTTAAAACACAATTAGATTTTAAATTTAATTTAAGACCTGTGTAGTGCAAATATGCCTAATGGAGGCCATACACATTAGGTTTTGCATGATGGTTTTAGCCGTGCATGCATAACCGAGTTTCATATTGCACATACACAATTTCTATTGCTATCTAAAGAAAGAAAGAAAGTGATAGCAATCTGTCAATCAATCAACAATTAAATTAATACTGATTGCCTATTGAAGCTACCATATTCAAGTGACGGCCTATTCACTAACTTTTTTACATTTACAGTGTGTAATTAAAGAGTAAATTCCATATCCATCAATGCTTTTCAGAACAAGTATCCTAGTGCGTTATGATAAAACACTAGTGGATCACTAAATAGGTGATTATCACTTCCATGTGTCAAAAGCAGTCAGCGAATAGGCCTACAGTACTGTTAGCTCAAAATGTACTTTTATTGTCATTCTGTGTGTGTCAAACGCATCTTTGTGTAAATAATGCTGTATTTATGTATTCAATGTAGTAATAATACATACATTATGGGTTGCCTGGAAGAGATTGCTTTTTAGCATTAAGGCTGCCTATTGTGTATTGTCTTTGTCAAATTAATTTTTAATTTTGTGTCCTTTGCTGCTGCTGTTATACATTAAAGAATATTACTATAATTATGAAAAAAATCTTAAAGTTTCTGCACTCATTCATGCTACTTAAGAACTTTAAAGTCACACTCCTCCATGCGCATAAAAGTTTTTCCTTCTCATGTTAACATGATGATTATTTTCTCTTCTCAGGTCAAAGAAATGGAAATATCTAGGACATTAGCAGAGAGAACACTACGAGAGCATAGAGGTGATGTGGTGGCGGCCTTAACTACTCTTACAAATTAAATTGGAATATTAAGACGATTAAATATTCTTTACAAAATACCATTACTTTATCTCTTAACTTTTGAGGTCTCAACAAGAGAAGTGTGAGCAATAGAGTGAAAGAAAGGCCAGCAAGCAAAAATCATACTGCCCTTCTGTTACATTTGACATTTGGCAGACAATCACGTTATTACAGAAGTTATAAGGTGATTGTGACAACAACATCCGGGGACTGCTGAGGTTTCTGGAGGAGCTGGGATGGCAGGACTGATGCCAATCCCCATACAATATAGGCACTGGGTGTCAGGTTGCGGAAACAGCCTGCCATACTACTAAGACTTATAAGGTTATTGTCTGCCCCTGTTGGTACAGGACTACAGGGAAATAATAATAAATTAGATGATAATAATAGTTATTAAAATAATTTAAACATTTAACAATTATACACTAAAAACCTATTTACAGTGGTGGTCATATAATTAAGAACACTTCTAGCAAAGACAACATTTTAAAATTCCAATGTTCATAACAAAAAAAATATTACATCTTGATAAATATTGGCTATACTATCATTTAATAACTTTAAAAGACTAACATAATCGAAAAAGAAATTAGGAAAATAATTATATTGTATTGCTAATGTTTAATTTACTGTCATTTAAATATTGTTTTCATAGCAACTATATACAAAGTTACTCTATGATAGCAACAAAAGGGAAGGTGGACAAATAATTAAGAACGAGAGAAAAACTAAGTTATAATATTAACAATAATTTAATAATTCGAATATAACTAATAATGCTGTAATTTTGTAATTAATAAAACACTTCATTTTTGAAAAAAAAAGTGGCATGTCCTTGGCTGTGGATAACAGCGGCGCGGCATAGACGCTATCAACTTTTGGCAGGTTTCAACTGAAATAGATTTTTTTAAGTATAAGCCTAGTAGGTCCCACGCCATAACCAGAAAAGCAACCAACCAAATCTTAACGTTTCCATCGCCATGCTTCACAGTCTTTTTCGTGTATTTAGCATCGAATGGCTTATTCACAGGGTGGCATAACGTACTGCTTGCCGTCGGAAAATATTTTATTAATCTTGTTTTTGTCGAAAAATATTACATTTTTTTCCATGGTGCTCAGTCCAATGTTGATACTTCCTTGCAAACGCTAGTCGAGCCTCCTGCCTCTCTATGGTATGATGTCAACATTGGTACCTTCCTTGCTACTCGCCCAAATAACTGTGCCTCTACTAGCCGTCTTCGAACGGTACGCGCAGAGATTGTGCTATGATTATTCTCACCAAAAACTCATTTTTGATTTTGTTTGGGCCTTTAAATACAAGGCGAACTATTCTTAAATCCTCTCGTGGAGACGTTTTTCTTGCTTTGGGTTTGCGAGACGCGTTGTCTAATGTGTATATAAATGTTTCACAGCTTGTTACACCATCGTTTTTAAAAGCCCTTTTACAAAATTGCGCCGTTGCTGTACTGGTCGGGGCGTACCTAGGTAGATTTGCACTAGTATATATTGCATATTACGGATGATGTTTTGAGTCTTATAAAATAATTATTAATGAACTAATTATAAAAATATATACATATTTCAGTAGTTCAATTATGGTAGTGTATGGTAGATTAGTTTTATGAAAGTTTTTGATAGTAATTCTATTTAATTCAATATCAAAATACGAGGTAAACCTGCATTATTTATTGGGAGAACTTACGGAGGTTAGATGTTTATTTTGATAATTAATTAGATTGAAAATCAAAATTCTAATACATAATATTACAACAAAAACATATTTCTGATGTCGTAGTAATTAATTTGATCTTATTTATTGAATATTATTATCTCAATATTATATTGAGGCGTTTGAAGTTGTGCATATTATCGTTTTTCCCGTAAACTAGCTGCAGTAGAACGATCAGTACAAAAAAGGAAAATAGTATTTGCAAATATTGTACACTAGCTGTTACTCTCGCGTGGTTTTCCTATTTGAGGCTATCATCCTCTTTTGACATAGTAAGTAAAAAAGTAGCTTATTTCTATTAAAATTACGGCGCCTTTCTGCTTGAAGCCGTACATTTAAATCTCTGCGCGCCTGTTGTTGTTCAGGTGTTTCGAATGACCTCAAAAAAGCTTGTCGATGAGCAAGCTCAACGACAGAGCTTGCTCATCAAGTCTTTGCTGAGTTTCAGCTGGTGTTTCTGCAGCTCTTAAAGCAGTTTGACTCCCCGCTTGTAGTCTTCGTTGAGACTGAACATCCGATTCAGCGGCTCTCAAATGAGCCTGCCGCTCTGTCTGCTCCTGAAGTCTTCTCTGTGTCTGCAACAGTGATTCTAAGGCCCTCAAATTCGCTTGACGTTCAGACTGTTCAAGACGCCTTTCCTGGTTTTCTGCGATTGAGATGCTGAGGCCCTCAAAGCAGTTTGGCGATCTGCCTGTTCTTGCCTTCTCAGTTCAATTTCTTCAAGAGATTCTTGCGACCTAGTTAATCTCTTTGCTCGTGCTTGAGAGGATACTCTATAAAGGCTAGATTTGCGTTTGCGCGTCATTATTACGGTTTAGGTAAGTATCTGAAATATTTTTTTTTATTAAAAAAAATTACCTATTTTAATTACAACAGTATAACAATGTTTTGTAAGCACCTACTCAACTTGTTTATAGTAGGTAGGTATTTAAAATCCAAAAAAAATGCGAATAATTATCCATTCACCTATTTTCACAAAAACCCAAGATCAATGTGTTAAGTTAATCGTCAAAACGATTGCTTTTTAATATTCCTTTTTGATTTTTTTTTAATTTAATTATTATTATTTTAATAACAGATACTTAACATATATTATGTAGGTATGTAGATAGGTAATTCGTATTTTATTAAAATCAAGGTATTTACCTATCTAGGTAGGGTCAGTTCGCCTGTTCGCGTCCATCGCCCAATTCGCGTCCATTTTACGGATCTACCTTAAAAAATCCTCAATAATAAGTAAACTAACACACCAATCAAACAAAAAGTAATTACCGCTAATACCTTAATATATAAGAGGCACGAACACATGGTCAAAAGGTAGGTGCGCCAAACAATCCCGTTTAAAAAAAATAATTAGTCTCGGTTATTCACCAAGGGAGTGCGTACACGCGGGATGTTTAGATAAAAAATAGTGTACAGTGGCGCGTTGGATGGTAAGATTTTTATTTTTTTATGTTAATTTAAGGATACATAGCTGTTTCTAGACTTTTATAATGAAGAAAGGAATGATATTAATTATAAATTTTCTTATGTTTTGTATATTTAATAAATAAAATAAGGTGGACGCGAATTACTACATCGAAATTACAAAACTTCCAATTTGCGTCCGCAATGGACGCAAACTAAACCTACAGGGGATAATAATAAACCAAATTGCGTCCACTATTTTCGTTAAATACAATTAATTAATTATAATTTAAAATATAGGTATTGATTATTATTATTATACATTTTTATTAAGACTACGTGTTTTTAATGCTATTTTTAAATGAAATGAGTAATTTCAATCAATCAATCAAATACTTTATTTGTTTCAATCTTATTTTTTTTCTATTTGAGATGAGTTCTTCGGAGACAAGAAAGTAGAAGGAAAAGAGAATATACACAGAAGACGCTTTAAAGAAAGCGTTAAAAGAAATTCGAGAAAAGAATAAATCGGTAAGACACATAGACATATTGTACAAAATCAGTGGGCGCAGACCAAATGAAGTAAAGAAACCGGGACCAGACACCACCTGATGCTACCCGAAATGTCTAACAAAGCACGAAAAGATAATCAAAGAACTCTAGCAACCATATCTCCTGCTGCATGTACTCCATGTATCCAGTATTAAGAAGATAAAGAGCAGATCAAGAATGAAAAGCAGGAAGCAATACGAAAAAGAAAGTTAGAACGGATAGAGAAACAAGAACAGAGTTTAAAACAATCACAAACGGTTCGTAAAACTGCTCCAAAACGAAAGAAGAAGGTCGAAGATGCTCTTCAAGAAGTCACACAGGAAATCACACACATCAGGAATTTAAGAAAGATTTTTTTCTGAATGTGACGATATACTAATTTCAGATGTAGAAGACGACAATGAGAAAAACATACCTTGTGATTTTAGGGTAAAATTAACAAAACAGATTACTGTTTATTCTTAAAGATGCAATCATTATTTATCTACTACTTATATAATTTTAAATTCAATCAATATTGAGAAGAATATTTTTTATTTTTTTAAATTTTAATGATAATAATGTTGGTTTTAATATTTATATTCTAAAATAAAGAAATTGTTAAAATAGGTACAATCTTTCTATACAAATTCTATAAATAGCACCCCTATATTCCTTTTCTAAGGTGGTGGACGCTAAATGGTCCACGGGTGGACGCAATTTGGATTTTGTGGACGCAAAGTGGGTGAAACGCCTTATTCCGAAGTTTATCTATTTAAATAAAAAACAATAGATGTTTCGAACAAAACTTAAAGTTAATCTTAAAATAGACTATATAATGAACACATTACATAAATTTTTCATAGTAATTAGAGCTGGGATATTTTTATTATCGCCGTCAAGCTTTGCAACTGCACTAAATGGACGCGAACAGGCGAACTGACCCTACCTGCCGAAATAGTATGCGCACTTAATAGATAATGTAGGTAGGTACCAATCAAGGTAGGTAGGTATCTATCTACCAAATAGGCAGCCCTTCTTTCAGAGCAACAAAACCAATCAAAAACTACAATACCATATTATTACAAAAACCAATACCTACCTATGCGTTGTCTATCTTACTGGTAAAAATCGAGGTAGGTAGGTTATAATATAGTAATCTTAATTTTTATCAGTGAGCCAAATTTATACATTCGAAGAAACTACCAAAATACCTACCTAGTTCATTTAATGCACAACAAAACCAAATCACAAAGGAAAACAAAAACAGATATGTAGGTAGGCAGGTACCTTGGTAAATCGTATTTCTTTAAAATCAATCAAGGTAGGTAGGTACCTACTGC